AGCTCAAAAACCAACGCAAGATTTTTGGAGTGTGTTTATATAGTGTATATTTAAATACTCCCAAAATCCCAGATTTTTCCGTTTTACTGTAAACAAGTTATTCAGTTTCAAAAATCGAAAAATTAGCAAAGTGGCAATTTTCTTTTTCAAAATTTTTATATAAATAAAGAGAAAAATTAAAAAGTACAAAGAAAATCTAAAAGTTATTAGCAATGACTTGATATTTGGTAAGTTTTTTTTTAATTTAATATTTACCCTTTCTCATAATTAATCGATAAAAATAGCAAAATTAGGTTATTTTTAAGATGAAATTGAAAATCATGTTTTTCCTATTATTTCATATCTTTAAATGCTTAAATCAATTTATAAAAGTAAATTTAGTCATTCTTAATAAATTGCAATAATAATTTTCACACTTTTATGGTAAATTATAGGTTTTTTCGAATATTTTCTGCTGGCTGAAAAACTGTCAATTTTCAGCACCTCGTACACTTTAAATTCATATTTTAAAGTAAATAATAAAAATTTTAGTAAAAATCTTTTCATTTCGTGATCTTTATAACTTCAAGATCATCCCTGCAAAGTATCATAATTTTTAAAAATTAGTCGGCAACGACATTGTTCGAAATATAATGGAATGACTCTTCTTTAAAATTTTAAAGATTTTAAAAAATTTCAACTTTAATAATTAAAACTCTTATACATATTGTTAAATAATTGTGAAAATAAATTAAAAATCGATTATTATTAAAAATTATTAATTTCGGTTAAATGAAAAATCGACGTTTAATGAATTAGCTATTTAATAAAAAATTAATGGAAATAAAATTCAAACAAATGAAGATTGAACTTAAGGGACGCATGATTATGTTCTAAAAATTATTAGTTATAATTTTCATTTTATGGAATTTCATTTGTCATAATTATTTTTTGAGCCAAATTTTTATTTGTTCGAATTAGTATTTTAATTGAATTTTTATTGAGTAGAATTTCATTGCATAGAATTTTCATTTTATTCTTTCAGATGAATTTTCATTTGTTTGAATTATTATTTGATATAATTTCCATATAATCGATTTTTCATACTACAGAATTTTTATTTAACCGAAAAATCATTTAACAAAATTTCTAATTGATAGAATTTTCATTTGTCCGAAATTGCAAATGACCAACAATGACAAATTAATTAGAAATTTTGTTAAATGATTTTTCTTCGGTTAAGTAAAAATTTTGTAGTATGAAAAATCGGTTACATGGAAATTATATCAAATAATAATTCGAACAAATTTACAATTAATCTGAAAGAATAAAATGAAAATTCTATGCAATGAAATTCTACCCAATAAAATTTCTTTAAAATATGCCTATTATGTTAAATGAAAAGTCGAGCAAATAAAAATTCTGACAAATAAAAATTCTGTGAAGTGAATTTTCGGTTATATAAAAATTCTGTAATATGGAAAATCATTTTGATGAAAACTCTGCAAAATACTAATTCCAAACAAATAAAAATTCGGCTCAAAAATAATTATATGACAAATGAAATTCCATAAAATGAAAATCCTAACTAATGATTTTTAAAACATAATCATTCGTCCCGAACTTATTTATAACATTCCATTGAATGCTAATTATGTTCAATTAAAATTTGATGTAATTAAAATTCTTTTAAATGAAAAGTTGGCTAAAGATAAAATTTGTAAAATGAAAATTATGTTAAATAAATTTTCGGTAAATTAAAAAAAATTAAACAGTGACAATCACGAATCATTTGTTCTAGTTTTTATCTACAAAAAGCTAAAATTAATATAGTCAAATAAATATAACTAAATTATAATTAATATTATAATTTAGTTTTCGTTTTCCATCTGAAAAATATATTTTTTCCCCTCTTTCGATTTTTAGATAAAATAAGTTTTTTTACTCCTTTCTTTTGTCTTTATAACTAATTTTACACAATTTAATTATCTGTATCGATGGCTCCATCATGTTAAGTTAACGATTCATTTGTTACGGAAAATCGAACACGTTTAATACACCGAATGACTTGAGAGATAAAAAGTAATGTATGTTTTATGAAAATATTTAATTAAGAAATTCCTTATAAAGTGAAAAATGTCTTTCATTAAAAGCAGTTTAATTAAATTTTGTTACTATAAACAAAAATTAATTAATAAGTAAAATAATTTTTTTATACTTTAATTATTACACTTTTATAGATTTACCGATTAATTCTAGTTTAGCACTTTCTGCTTTAGTATTTCGTAAAAGTAAAAAAAAAAATACAATTCTACAATCTTTTAAAATATATAATTTTTTGTTGATTTTATTTTCACATGAAACAAGACTGAAATGTTAGTCTTTTACTAAACGAAATAGCCAGTTTCTTATTATTAATAATTGAGCCTAATGAATCGGGTCGCTACGAGCATGTATCCGGCGTTCTTTTCAGTACAACTTATTAACTAGTCTTAACCATTAGTAACCGTCTGATTGTCAAATGGTTTTAAGGAGAACTCAAGAGGAGCAGTTTTAAATACCTTCTCCTTCAAATATTATGAAGACTAAATTTAAAATTATATGCTATTAAAAAATTAATATATAAAAACAATATAAATAAATAAAAATTATTATCTAATTTTAAGGAATAAATTAATAAATTTGCAAAATTTCTATGCTTTATATAATTAAGCCGTTAAATTAAATATTCAATAAAGTTCAAAACATTATTTTCTTATTTGGTAATAACATATATATATATATATTTAATTAATGTTTTAAATAAAATTAAATTATAGCTGAATTAATTTGTTGAAATCAAATATTTAATGAGATATAAATTTTTAATTTTTTTTTATATTTCTAAGTTAATATGTATTAAATGTGTGTTTTATTTTAATTTAAAAAATAGTTCAATTAAATCAAATTTAAAATTAGTGTTTCTTAAAAAAAATTTCCCCAAAAAATTATGTTTCCACACTGAAAAAAAATAGTATTGAATCAAGAAAATTTGACTTGCTTCAAGTAAACCGTGGAATTGAATAGGGACAAGTCAATTACGGCATTGGTTCAAGTAAACGATTGTCTTGAGATAGTATATTTGGGACGAGAGCATATATATTCTTGATCCAAGAAAATATGGAATTCGAGCAATATATTAATCAACTTGTAACAAATGTAAAATACATTAAAGGAAGAAAATATTTTCTTGTTCTGAGAATATATGTAGTCAAATCAATTGTTTCATTTGATTCATTCAAATCTTTGCAATATTGGATCAAGTAAGACAAGATTTAAATGAAAATATTATTTATATTGTGAGGAGACCATATGTTCTTGGTCCAAGAAAATATGGAATTCGTCTAAGAAGTTTATTGACTTTTAAGAAATATGTAAAATATATTAAATCAAGATCATATATATATTAACTCAAGAAAATATTTTCTTGACTTGAGAAAACTTATGGAGTTGAACCAAAAAAATATTTTTCCAATACAAGTAAATACCATGTCTAATTCTTAAGTCAAACATTTTTATTTATTATTAACATTGATATTTTTTATTATTTATTTAAATAATGTTTACTTTACATACATATTTATATTTAATTAATACTTAACACAACTAAAACAAGTATACCTTGAATGAAAATTTTTCACGGTCCGAGGAACTGAACCCGAGTTGCGCGCACCAAAGGCAGTAACTTAATTGATGGTTTTCAAAAACTCCTATTTAAGTTTCACATCCATTTGGAGAGAAATATTTTCTTGGATCAAGAATAAGGGATTTGTATTAAGTAAAAAATTAATTCAAAGCAAATGAATAAAACTATTTGACTCAAGAAATGAAAATTAATTAAATTAACCTAATATTCTTGATTGAATACTTTTTGGTACTTCGGGAAAATAAAATATTGGGTATAATATAAATTTTAATCAAGTTGAAACAAGTATTAATTTCTATTAATCTTTTCATTTTCTGGGATCAAGACTATGAGTATTAGATTAAGTAAAAAGTTGTTTTGAAGGAAACAACAAAACGATTTGACCCAAGAAAATAAAATACTCAACGTAAATCACTTGACATGAGAAAATAATATTCTTGACTCAATTCTTTTTCTGTTCTTGACGCAAGTAAAACATTTCGCTTGATACAGTAAGATATATTTACTTATATGAAACTCATATTTTCTTATTTCAAGAACATTGCTCAATGCTCAAAATTATACTTGACTCAAGAAAATAAATTTCTTCCAATAAGAAAATATCGTCTTGTTTCAAGTAAAGTACCTCAAGTAAATATGCATTAACTTGATTCAATTAACTTTTTTTTCAGTGTAAATACAATGCAAAAACATATGTCTTATTTCAAGACATAAGATACTTAGAATCTTAAAATTATTTCTTTCTTAAGTCTTAAAATTATTTCGACTTGATCCATTGGTTAAGAAAATATCTAAGACTTTTCATCATTGGTCGAAATCTAAGACACTATAAAATGTCTTAAAAATCAGGACAAAAGTGTCTTAAAATAAAACATCTGTTTTTGCAGTGTAAATTTTATTCTTCCAAAATAATATGTTTCATTCATATAATTTAAAAGTCTTTTTTATTATTTGCAGATTGTGAATATAAATAAAAATATTATAAAATATTTATAAAAATACAATTTCTTTGCTAAACCAATATAATAAAAAATGTACCAGATAGAACATCGTGATATTGGTTATAATATTCTGTTTTGTTCCTTCTGACGACAGCTAATCTAAAAACTTCGAGTTACAACCCGTTTCGCCCCATATAATTACTTATCAGATAGACAAAAATTATCGAAACTTGTTAATTGTTATTATAATTATTCTTTTCTATTATCTAGATTTTGTTCCCTCATTTCGACATCCCCTATATACATACTACAGATATACAGTGATAATTTTCTATGTCGCAGATATATATATATATCGTTATTCTAAATATAATATTTTAATCATTCTTCATTAGGTAAAGCATTACGTATTGTGGATTTTGATGTGCCCAGTATAATTGATCCCAGATCAGAAGCAATTACTCTACTTTGCGATTACGAATTGGATGGATCGGAATTGTATTCAGTTCAATGGTACAAAGATGGAAATGAATTCTTCAAATTTACTCCCAGCTCAAATTCACCAGGATACTTCTATGAAGGAAATAATATTTTTATTGATTTAAAACAAAGTGATAACAGAAAAGTTACGCTGATCAATAAAAATCGAAGAGGTTAATAATTTATTTTTATGTATTTTCTTTGCATCATTATAATTATAACATTCTTTATGTACTTTGAAAACACAGAAAAAAAGGTGGATAAAAAGTTGTAAAGATAGAGGGTAAAAGTCGTTAGGATACTGGGATTGGCTAAACTTCAATACGCCATCTGGTGTGTACCTACTTCGGACAACCATTTTCCTTTTTCATCTTTCTTTAATTAACACGATAGAAAGAGAAATAAAAACTAAAATGTCTGAAGAAGTAGGTAAAAGTCACTAGACCGCCAATCCCAACAGGGTAAAGGAAAAATTTGTGATGGATAAAAATGTTACTAAAATATTACTAGAAAAATGGATGTCATATTTGAGTAAACTGTCTAATTTTAATAAAAATATAAGTAATTTTACACTTAACTTATTAAATCCACAAATTTTTTATAAATAAGTAATTGCATGAGGAAATATTTTGCCTATAATTATTATCTATTAATAAAAATATCTTTGACTAATATAACTGACAGCTGACGACAGTGCGTAAATAATCAGAACTGGGAAATTACAACTCAACGTCTGTATTGTAGCACGAAAGCAGAGTTGGGTAGTAACTGAATTTTTTGTGCATATTAGGCTGTGTCAGTTCATCGAGATATTTCGAGTTCAAGATATGACGTCAGAGGCCTGGAGGGACAATAAATAGACGACACAATGTTATTCTTACGGGGATGAAAATTTGTTTCCACTTTCATGAATTTTATTCATACTTTAAACGCTTGTTGACATTTATTAAAATTAAAATGTGTGTTGATAATTAATTTTGTTATATATTTGATTCAATTGCATTTATAGATTCTCTGAATTCGTGATAAAATATAAATTTTGAGGTTAGGGGTGTTTGTTTACTAACTTGAAATCTTTTACTGCTGCGGTAAATCCCACCTAAAATATATATACTTTTCTAACCTCAATATTTATATTTTATCACGAATTCAGAGAATTTATAAATGCAATTGAATCAAATATATAACAAAATTAATAATCAACACACATTTTAATTTTATTAGATGTCAACTGACAAAGCCTAATATGCACAAAAAATTAAGTTACTACCCAACTCTGCTTTCGTGCAACAATATAGACGTTGAGTTGTAATTTCCCAGTTCTGATTATTTACGGACTGTCGTCAGCTGTCAGTTGTATTAGTAAAAGATATTTTTATTAATAGACAATAATTATAGGCAAAATATTTCCACATGCAATTACTTATTTATATAAAATTTGTGGATTTAATAAGTTAGGTGTAAAATTACTAATATTTTTATTAAAATTAGACAGTTTACTCAAATATGACATCCATTTTTCTAGTAATATTTTAGTAACATTTTTATCCATCACAAATTTATCCTTTACCCTGTATCCTAACGACTTTTATCCTCTATCTTTACAACTTTTTACCCACCTTTTTTTCTGTGAATTTAATATTTCACTTCGTAAAAATAATTTTACCAACCTTAGACGCTCATTATGATTTTACTCAAAACATATTAAAACTGCGCCTATACTGTCGGCGTAAATTTACTATCTTGAATAATATTACTTCGACAGTTAATGTAAAAATTTCTGTGCCTAAAAATGGCGTAAATTGTGCATTTTTTTTTACATTAAAAATGAAAATTTAAGTACTTTTTTTTAGGTGGGACAAATCTAGCAGGAACATATGCTTGTGAAGTTTCAGCAGAGGGTCCAAATTTTTTGACAACTTATGCGGAAGCAAATATGAGTGTTGCGGTCCCACCAAAAAGTGCACCCGCTGTCGATGGCCTTCGACCTTACTATGAAGTAGGTGATATTATGAGAGCAGAATGTACTTCCGCTCCCAGTCATCCACCGGCAGTTCTGACCTTTCTTCTCAACGAAAAAGAAGTAACAATTAACTTTTAATTCAATGTTACTAACTGTTTATTCACAGAATTTTTTTTATAACACACTATACTTATATTTTAATAACATTTAATTTTATAATACACAATCGTATTGTGACTAAAAACATATTGACGTGTATATATATATTTTTTTTTTAAATTATAAAAAATAGATTCCAGAAAGAAGTCAAGTAGAATTTTGTGATTATAAAATGTATAATTTAAAAAAAAAAAAATTATTTAATAAAAAGTAAATTAGACTTTTTTTCAGGTGAGCAAAAGTTCAACAGAATATATTCAAAATGAAGTTCATGTTGTTGGTAATTACGCTACAACAACGCATCAAGAATTTACGTTACTCTTAGAAAGGCATCATTTTCCAGGAGGAAGTTTAACATTAACTTGTGAGGCTTCCTTTGCAGGAATGCCACATCTCAAAACTCTGCGGACTAAAAAAGTAGTTACATTAATATCAAATAATAAAGACTACGTTCAAGCAGATATACATTTTGATACAGTTAAATCGACTGCATCATTTATTCATTATCATATGTATGTGATTTGTTTCTTTATTTTTTTAACAAATAAAATTTTTCAAGTTATTTAAAATTCAATAAAAGATTTATTATTTTTCATTATAAAAATTGAAATTTTCTTTTCGAATTTTCTCATTACATAATATAACAGTTACTATTATCAAGATTCACGGTAGAGAATCGACGCCCAAATAAAAAAAAAAAATCTGCAAATATATTTTCTCAAAAAATATTGGCATTTTTCGACCAAAATTGGATATCATGAAAAGTTCTTTACCGGTTTCGTTTAAACCCTTTTTGCCGGGTAAAGAATGTAAAAAAAATTATGTGGTAAAAATGGAAGAATTCTCAAAGAATTATAAAAATTAGACTTAAAAAACTGAAAAAATGATGATTTTTAGCCACGCCTGAAGCCTATAGGGGAGACCGGGGCTGAAAGTGCCGGCCCGGGGTAAGTTGTGCCAATAAGGTCAGTTATATATGTGTTAATTGTAATTTCAATAAATCGCATTCGGAATAAGTATTCATGTCTCAAAAATTATTTATTAATCAGAAAGTAGAGTTTTTACAATTAATTAACGATACAAATAATTGTTTCAAAAAATATTTTAAAAGACTGACTAATTATGTAATTGTAAAATTTAAGTCAGAAATGTTTATTTATTTACAAAAATCTATAAATGTTACGATTGTTGGAAAAATCCTTTGAATGCTTATAATAAAAATACTTATTACGAGAACTATGTTTTAAGTGACTGACTAACTATGCAATTATAGAATATAACTCAGAAAATGTTTATTTGTACTTACTAAAATCTAGAAATCTTAAGATTGTTCCTAAAAACATTTCAAAGTTTATAACAAATGATTAGTAAATAATAGTAAATCATATATTGGCAATAATTATTTTATTTGTTACGTGTAAAATCATTTGCTTCAACTGAAACAACTAAAAAATCTGAGCGGCACAACTCTCCCCAGCGCGGAGTTCAACGTGCCGTGTTGCCTCGCTGCACAAAATCATTTTTTACAAAAGAACTGTTTAAAATTATCAATAAAAAATAATGGATTTAAAAACTATATATTTAATTTTAAAATAGATAGACTATAGATTAAAACAAAAAGTTCTCAATTTACTAGCATTTTATTTAGTTTTCTCAAAATCGGCACTTTCAGCCCCGGTCTCCCCTAGTGTTTTTTGTAACTTTTTCCAGTAAATTTTTATTTTCTTTGATACTATTATGTTGGTTATTTTTAAGTTATTAAGTTAAAATTATTTTTTAATTTTTTGTTTTCTTTATTAACTTATATTAAAATGTTATACGCGGGACCTGATCCGACTGTTTAAATCTGAAATTCATAAAAATATAGATCTGATAGAGGCACGATTAGATCCTCTAGATACTTCTTTCTTAGCTGATTCATCACTGAATCATGACATTAAATAATACTTACAAAAAGTTTTGAAAACCCAACAAAAACATTTTCAATGCAGAAAGTTACGCCAAGCTAAAATTATCTTAACCATCGAAAAAATTTGTGAAATGGAAGTTAGACAAGTAAATTTTAGGATTATGTTAAGGTTTAATTAATTTTTTTAATATAAATAATTAAATTTAAAAATGGGAAATTATATAAATTATAATTTTAAAATATGCGTGCAATGTAGAAAAAAAGAATAGTTTTGGTCTAAATATAAAATACAGTTAATAATTATCAAAATAATGAATTGAAATCAATTTTTTGATTAAGAAAAATTTCTATAGTAGGCGCTGTTATGAAAACTTGGTGTGAATTATTATTTTTAAGTATTTAATAATAATTTTTATTTTTTAATATTTATATCCTTCATTAATTTTTCATTAATCCACTTACAGTAGTATAGGTAAAAAAATAATTATCAAAAGTGATATACTTTGGCAGAGAATAATACGTTGTATATTTATCAATGCAAAAAATTAAAAATCCTCATGACCAGGTACAAATGAAAATTTTTAATCAAGTTCTTGTAATTCCTGGAAGTTTAATATATTTTTCCGGAGGCTCACGTCGATTTGATCTTATTACGTCTGCTCTTATAGAATCTGGTATCAATGACAAATGGAATGCTGAATACTTAACTAAAATTTCTTTACAACATAGTCAAGCTGATTATTATTATTTAATGAACCTCATGAAATTGTTAGTGTAAGCTATAGAGTTTGATAGAAAAAAAGAATAGACGAAACGGTCCAACATTTAATAATGACATACCAATGTATTGGAATTGTAAACAAAAAAAGTCATTTGCCACAGAAATGATTTTTTTTCGTAAGTTAGTGTTTTGAACTAATGTTCTTATATACGAATTTTGAATAGGATTTTGTATTCATAAATTGTAAATAAATAGAAATGTAACTTTTTTTAAAATGAAAACTCATGTATATAAATCAATATTACCTGTTAGCTGACCTTTAACATTCAAATTGTCGCCTTGTTGAAATGTAAGTATTTATTGAAAATACAATCAGTAACATCGATTTTTTCAAACTAAAGGAGTTATTCTCTTGTCTTGTTCAATCCTATTCTGGCCAAGTTGTTGAAACAAGAAATACACAGAATACAAGTTTTTTATTTCAAAATATAGAATATAAGAATAAAGTCAATTACTAATTAGTAAGTACTTAAAATTAATTTAAAAAAAAATTTATTACATATCTTTTTCATTTAAATTCAGTAAAATTTGATAGCAGTTGATATATAAATAAAAATTACGTGTAATAATTAAATAACTAATTTAAACATTATTTTAGAATTCAACTTGCTGAAACATAAAACAACATGGATCTAAGTTTTATTTTAAAACTTGTCATTGGGTATTTATATTTATTGTACTGTATGTACGAAAAAACAGTAAATGCCAATTACATCTGGCAGGCAACTTTAGAAAAGGAGACTAAAATTCATCAACAGCTTCTTTTGTATGAAAACGATTTTAATAACGGTATTATTTATGAGCTCAAAAAAAGTATTTCAAAAATGATACCAACACGAATTGCTGATTTCAAGACAATCATGAATGAAGACAAAAGTATGGAATTATCTCCGTATTTACTGGAAGTAACAAGAATCGTGATCATTCCAATAAGAAATAATAACAATTTATCGAACCTACTCAAAATTTTTGAGTCTATTGCTAACATGTCACAGCAGAAAACACGTCCAAAAGTCCTAATAGCAACCAAAGTTGAAAAAAGTATTAAGTATAAAAAATTCTTTCAGAAATGTTGGGTCAAACAGTTTTTGGACATCACTATCCTTGAGCTAAAACAGCGTAAAGATGATAAAGCAGTACTAGCTGAAAATTCCAACGCAGTGGATGCAAACCTGCATTACTACAATCCATTCACTAAAAGATCTGCTAAAATGACGTTCACAAACCAAAGCATTTTGTTTCCGTACAAACTGCATAATTTAAATGGTTACAAAATGAGTATGCCTTTATTTCACTTAGCACCATATTTAAACATTACACGAAATTCAACAGGACATGTTTTAAATGTTCAGGGTCCCGACATGAACTTGTGGATTACTTTGTCGAAGGTATTAAACTTCTCATTAAAAATAATATTTTCAAACTCAACTGGTTTTGTTAAAATTAATTGTACCAAAGATTACAATCCGGATTTAGTAAAGAAAACAATTTACAACGAACTCCAATTTATTGGTATTCAGTCTACTCTGCTCAAATCATGCCTTAACAATTTTCTCACAATAGGAAAAGGAACAAGAGCTTTTCGTATGGTTATAGTAGTACCAATTTTTCCAAGTGATGGTAAAATTTATACTACCGAATGGAACATTTTCAATGTACTCTTCATCTTTTGTTTAATTTTGATACCTTGGTTAATAAGTAAATTTCTGAAATTCGATCATCGAAACTGGAAATTAATGTACATTTTTCAAATTGCGCTGGGTTTAACAGCTCCTCAGATGCCAGTGAAAAAATTAGAAAGAACAGTATTTCTCTCGATAATGTTCTTTTTCCTCTTGCAATCGTCATACATCTATTCGACATTGTCAAATTTTCAATTACAGAAAGAAATTTTACATGAAATTAATACATTTGAAGAGCTGTACTCCAAAAATTTAACTCTTATTACACATGGGGGAAGAGATAAGTTTGAGAGCAATGACACTGCCTACGAAAAACTAATTAACAATGCAATTCATAGTGGCGGAAGGTCGTTTGACGAATGTGCACAAGCCGTTAATGATTATCAAAATGTGTCTTGCTATGGCAGAGAACTGGTTGCATATTTATCAATGCAAAAAATTAAAAATCCTGATGGCAAGGTACGAATGAAAATTTTTAATCAAGTTCTTGTTGTACCTGGAAGTTCAATATATTTTGCTGGAGGTTCACCATATCCAAGTCGATTTAATCTTGTTACGTCTGCTCTTGTAGAATCTGGTATCAGTGACAAATGGGATGCTGAATACTTTCCAAAAATTTCTTACCATAAAAGTCAAGTTGATTTATTTAAACAGAAAATGTCTGTAACATCAAAAATTTTGAAATTAATTATAATGCTTCTAGTTTTTGGATACACTTGTTCCTATTTTGCATTCGTTGGAGAAATTTTAATTCATAATTATTTGAATCTGTAAGTTCAATTTCGTCTATGAAGATGAGAAGTACAAATTGTATCTGATTGTTATGTTGGTAAAGTTTTATTTTCTTATCGTTCGAATTTAAACATTACAGTATTATTGTTGATTAACTCTGTTGACAATTTATTTAATTAGTAATTAATTTTTATCATACATATTGCATATCTACTCGTTTCATAGTAAGGATTATAATTGGTTTTAATCTATTAATTTATTCTTACTTTAAACATTACAGGAATGTTTTTTAATTATAATTCGTCGTTAATTTATTTAACTACCGTCCGATTTTATTCGCAAAACCCAAGCAAAGCAATGTTATTTCCAAAAGCTTTCCTCATTTGGCGATGTTCAAAAATTGTACTCTCCTTAAATTACTCATTTCCGACTTTTTATCACTAGTGAAAAGTCGTTTTCCATACAAAATTATTTTTTTCTAAGTTATCGATTTGAACTAATGTTATCATATACAAATTTTGATTAGGATTTTGTATTTCTAAAATCTAAATATATAAACACTTTAATCAAATATGTAATTTTTTTAAGAATAAAGGTTTTGACAAAATATTATACTATGATATTATAAATTATTAATAATAATTTCTAGTTAAAATGGTATTTTTTTCCGAGCATTTCAGATCTAGGATAAATTACTGATTTGTAATATATATATATATATATATATATATATATATATATATATATACGCATGTTCTGTATATAACAACAATATTGCATTTTGCTTTTTCATTACTATTTACATTGTCGGTTTGCATTAAGGAAACTTTGCAAATAAAAACCTTGGATTTTATCTTAGAATACTTATTAAAATCAGTATCATCGATTTTTTTTAAGTAAACTGAACTTTCATTTCTTGTCAACTTCAATACGGTTGTGACCAAGTTGTTGTAACGAGTGAATCACTGAATATATGCGGGTATAATTTAAAACAACCTTATAAAGGGAGACAAATACTAATTGGTAAGTACTTAAAAACCAATGGAACAAAAATTTAGTAAAACAAATCACATTTGTTATATGGGCATATCTTTGAAACCTTTAACTTTTCAATAAGAAAAAAATTTTTTTTTTTTTTTTGAGCACAGTATTGAAACTTTGTCTACATAAACTTCAAGAACTAAGCTTTCCAATTATACAAGTGGACATATAAAACAAGTTGTCTTCAAAAAGTTATAAATATTTAAAATTGAGAATTATTTTTAACCTGTAACAAAAAAATATTCAACAGGTGTTTGCTTTTTAGGATAAAAAACAGTTGAAGGGAATTTTCTAAGGGGTTATAATTTTAAAAAGCAATAAAATTCGTTTAATATTTTCAATATTTATATGAATAATAAAATACTGAAATAATGCACTGGGTATAAAAGCATGTGTCAAAAATTAACTAGATATATAAATTTTTTATTTGAATATTTACATTACATTTTAAAATAGATTTTTATTATAGTGAATTGTTTTAAAAATGTAAAATTGTAATTTTTAAAATTATCATACGATTTTCATAGACTTTTTTCTATTTAAATTTAATATTCGTAAACTTTCCAATTTCTTTTCTTTTAAAAAATCTGACATAAAATCATATTAAAAATCCTCTCGTGGGATAATATATATTGTATGATCGATTTGAACATAAGAAATCATAAAGGATTTCATGTAGACTCTGAAATATCTATCTAAGATTTCACATTGAATTATATAAAGGAAACAATATAGGATTTCATATAGAAATTTTCAGTTGGCAGATGGCAGTTTATAAAAAATAAAAATTATTTAATTAAAAATCAAATAATATTACTGCAATTCATCTGAAAAGAAAAAAATTTGTGCTTTGCAATACACCTTCTCAGTTAAGAGTCTCAGCTTTTATAGTATTCAAGACTGATCTCAACTGCACAGAAAAAACTTGGACTCATTTTTGTTGCAACTCATTTTCTTTTGGGTATCGAAATGAGTATGGGACAAACTTCATGTTATTCAAAATGATATTGGCTGGAATTTCAGATTTCTAAGTTGGCATCATAAGCAGAGTAATTTTGTATTTCAATTATTGTTTCTAATATTTCAACAACACCAGAAAGATTATTTTGACCAGTACGAATATTTAGAAGTTTTTAAATAAAAATTATTTATTGTTATTTACGTAGATAATAATTAATTTCATAAGTTTTTAAATTTACCGCTATTATTTAAGTTGGCAGTACCGTTCCTGTTGTCAAAACACATGTTTTCATTTTTCTAACCTAAAAACATATTTCCTTTATTATTTTATTACGCGATTACAAGCAATTTTTAATCAAATATATTAAGTCTAGCGTGTTATTTACTTCTTTGTAATTATTATATTTCATGTTTTTGTGCAAAATTATTCGTTATTTCACAATATTTTTCCATTTTTCTTTTTCTCAAAATGAAACTTGCCTGTTTCATTTTGATACTTTTACCTTAGAACTCGAAATGAGACAACCAGTTTCATTTTTGTTGCGAATCAAATTGAGTATAGAATCTATACTCAATTTGAATTCAGGTTTTTTCTGTGTGTAAGAAAAAAAATTATCACCATCCGGCGACGTAAGAGTGGAACTATGATGATCTACATCTATATTGGAATTTCCCATATAATTTCCTACAAAATTTCTCATATAATTTCCGACTTGATATCTTAGATGAACAATTAAAACAGTGAAATCCACACATGACATCCCACATGAAATCCTATATGATGAATTCTTACATGAGATCTTATATAGGATACTATATAAGATTCTACATAAGATTTTACATGGATTTTTATATATATTCCTGTATGATGAATTATTACATGAAATCCTATATAAAAATCCATGTAAAATCTTATGTAGGATCTTATATAGGATCCTACAAAAAAATCCTATATAGTATCCTATATAGGATCTCATGTAAGAATTCATCATATAGGAATTTATGTGGGATGTCATGTGTGGATTTCACTGTTTTAATTGCCCGGACAGCACCGAAAAACTTCCCTAAACCTTGACTGAACCTCGCTTGACGAGGTTCGGGAACTTGAGTCGCGAGGTCCAAACGAGGTTGAGTTGATGTTTAAATGTCCGCGCATAATAAAGGTCAGTCACAGAGGTTGACTGAATATTGGATTTGAATTTCTGTTAAATATTAAAATTAAAGATTCTTGGCATATTGTGAGGGGATACTTAAGGAAATTAAAAATTCAAGATTTGTTAAATATAATCGTTAAATATTGTGATATTGTTTTGTGCTACGAATAAATTTTTGGTAAATTTTCGTAGTAAAAAAAATCAACTAATTATTACGGTATTTAGTTAATTAATTTTTTTGGAGAGAAAATTTGACAAAAAAGTTATTTTCTTATCGTTATAATTTTTTAGGCCACAAACTATTTTTTTAAAGAGAAAATTTAAAAATGATTAAATTTCTCATCTTGATATTATTTTTGTGCTACAAATATTAACTTAAAATAACTTAAAATAACTTTGATGACCATTTTTTTAATTTAATTATTAACTAGCGATGTATTCCTCGCTCACTAACGCTCGCTCGGTTAAAATTGTACTTATTGTTGTTTATTTATTGTAGTTTATGTATATATTATATTTATAATTTATGTTTTAAATTAATATCTTATTAATATTGTATAAAATTTATCTTAAAATTGAAAAAAGATGTTACATAAAAATAGTTTGTAAGATTTTCTAACAGCATATATGCAAAGTATTTTAAGTTATTTGAAAATAATTGAAAATAGATTTTTCAAGGACGGTGTCGAGGTCACGGGGTCGGTGTCGTTTTTCGAAATTTGTTAACTTAATATAATAGAAGATTTTTCCCATTGGGTTTTTAAATTCATTTGCTTTCTTTTTATTTTTCCGTATTTATGCTCCTTCTAAATTTCCAGAATATTTAACGATTACATTTAACAAATCTTGAATTTTTAATTTCCTTAAATATTTCCACACACAATATGCCAAGAATCTTTAATTTTAATATTTAACAGAATTTCAAATCCAATATTCAGCCAACCTCTGTGACTATGACCTTTACTATGCGCGGACATTTAAACATCAACTCAACCTCGTTTAGACCTCGCGACTCAAGTTCCCGAACCTCGTCAAGCGAGGTTCAGTCAAGGTTTAGGGAAGTTTCGGTGCTGTCCGGGTGTTCATCTAAGATATCAATTAGGAAATTATATGATAAATTATGTAGGAAATTCCAATATAGATGTAGATCATCATAGTTCCACTCTTACGTCGCCGGATGGTGATAATTTTTTTTCTTACAGTTGAGATCAGTCTTGAATACTATAAAAGCTGAGACTCTTAACTGAGAAGGTGTATTGCAAAGCACAATTTTTTTTCTTTTCAGATGAATTGCAGTAATATTATTTGATTTTTAATTAAATAATTTTTATTTTTTATAAACTGCCATCTGCCAACTGAAAATTTCTATATGAAATCCTATATTGTTTCCTTTATATAATTCAATGTGAAATCTTAGATAGATATTTCAGAGTCTACATGAAATCCTTTATGATTTCTTATGTTCAAATTGATCATACAATATATATTATCCCACGAGAGGATTTTTAATATGATTTTATGTCATTTTTTTTGAAACAATTTTAAATTTTCATAGTAAACTTAATGATAAATTTTCTGCATTCTATAATCTATTAACTAAAGAATAAAATCTTTTAGCACTCAACTGTTGAATTTGGAAGCAACATGAAACTCTCCATTTTAATACCTTTAATAATATTTCTGAGCCCATTATATTGCACTTATGAAAAAGCAGTATTTGCAATTTACACATGGAAGAGTAATTTAGAAACAGCTCTAACCAAGGAAACAACTGTGCATCAACAGCTTCTTTTATATGAAAATGATTTTAACAACAGCAATATTTATCAACTCGAAAAAATTATTTCAAAAAAGATACCAACACGAGTTGCTGATTTCAAAACCATCATGAAAGAAGACGGAGAGCTTATGGAATTATCTCCATATTTGCTAAAGGTGACAAGAGTTGTAATCATCACTTCAAGAATTGATCCGAACAATTCATCAAAGGTACTCAACATACTTGACTCTCTTGCTGAGATGTCTGAACAGAAAACACGTCCAAAAGTCCTAATAGCAACCACAGTTGAAAAAAGTATCAAGTATAAAAAATTCCTTCAGATGTGTTGGTCAAAACAGTTTTTGGACGTTAGTATCCTTGAGCTAAAACAGCGTAAAGATGATGAAACAGTACTAGCTAAAAATTCCAACGCAGTGGATGCAAAGTTAAACTACTACAATCCATTCACTAAAAGATCTGCTAAAATGACTTTCACAAACCAAAGCATTTTGTTTCCGTACAAACTTCGTAATCTGAATGGTTACGAGATAAAAGTCGGTATGTTTCACTTTCCACCTTTTGTCAACATTACGCAAAATTCAAGTGGAGATGTTATAAGAATCAATGGACCTGACATCAATTTGTGGATTACTATGTCAAAGGTTATTAACTTTTCTATAAAAAAGGAAATATACAACTATACTTATTGGACTGAAATATACTTCATGAAAGACTACACCCCTAGAGCGATGAGAAAATTTTTTTACAACCATTTTCAAGCTTTTGCTATACAAACCGGTTTAACGGATATGTTTGGTGAAAATATTTTCGAAAGATGTAGAGGTACAAGAGTATTACGTTTTGTCATAGTAGTACCAATTTTGCCAAGTGAAAGTAAAAGTTTGATAAGCGAATGGAATCTATTCGAAATTGTACTCGTTGTCTGTTCAATTTTGATGCCGTGGTTGATAAGTAAATACCTAAAATTCGATGAACGAAACTGGAAATTAATCTACATTGTTCAAATCGCACTGGGTTCTTCAGCCCCTCCAATGCCAGAGAAAAGATTAGAAAGAATTATATTTAACTCGACGATGCTTTTTTTCTTCTTACAATCGTCAACCATCTTTTCGACATTGTCAAATTTTCAACTCCAGAAAGAAGTTTTAAATGAAATTAAAACATTTGAAGAATTGTATGCTGCAAATTTAACTCTTATTAAATATGCCAATTACAAAACTTTTCAGGACAATGATATTGCCTACGAAAAACTTTTTAACAATGGAATTTTCAGTAATATGTCGTTTGACGATTGTGTACAACTCGTTAATGATTACCAAAATGTTTCATGTTTTGGCAGAGAGCATATGGCATATATGGCTATGCAAAGAATAAAAAATGCTGATGGACGAATGAGAATAAAGATTTTCAATAAAGTTTTTGTAATTCCTGGAACTTCACTTTATTTTTCTGAAGGATCACCATTTCCAAGACGATGTGAGTCTGTTACGGCTGATCTTGTGAAATCTGGAATTAGTAACAAATGGGATGCTGAATACTTTCCAAAAGTTTCTGACGAACAAAGTCAAGTTGATTTGTATAAACAGGAATTGTCTGTTACATCGAAGATTTTAAAATTACTTATAATGCTTCTAATTTTTGGATACCCAGGTGCGAATTGTCGGTCGGCCCATGGTCGGGCCGACCATGTGCATGGTCGGCCCACCTCGGGCAGCCAGAGGTCGGGCCAACTAGCGAATTGATAACGTCGGCCGACCTATGGTCGACTAAGTTGGACCGACTATGGGTACCATAGTCGGGCCGACCAAGGCTGCCCTAGTTGGGCCGACCATCCTTGCCGACGGTCGGCAGCCATAGTCGGGCCGACCATGGCAGCCATAGTTGGGCCAACCTTGGCTGCCGACCATCCAACTTGACGGTCGGCAGCCATAGTCGGCCCGACTAAGGCAGCCGAGGTCGGCCCAACTATGGCTGCCATGGTCGGCCCGACTATGGCTGCCGACCGTCGGCTATGATAGTCGGCCCAACTATGGCAGCCTTGGTCGGCCCGACTATGGCTGCCGATGGTCGGGCCAACTAGCGAATTGATAACGTCGGCCGACCTATGGTCGACTAAGTCGGGCCAACTATGGGTACCATAGTTGGGCCGACCTTGGCTGCCGACCATCCAACTTGACGATCGGCAGCCATAGTCGGCCCGACTATGGCTGCCATGGTTGGGCCAACCTTGGCAGCTAAAATTTTGCCGACCATAAACATTAAAATATAAAAATTTGTTATACAAATAACATATATTAGTAATCATTTTAAATTCATTATACATTTATTTTATATACTTAAACACTAAACGCAATCGTAAACATACATATATACAAATTAAAATTTTTAACGCTCGCAGGGATCGAACTCGCAACCTAACGCACCGCAGTCTAATACGCTAACCACTACACTACGCAATGACATATGAGTCACGGAGAAAAATAAATGTTATAAGCTACAGCTTGAAAAAAATTAAAGTTAGTAATTCAAAATAATAAATTAATCACATATAACCTTTTTTCTTTTTAAATTAATCAATTACAAGTAAATTAACAAAAACATTTTACATTTGTCAATGGTAGGAGAGAAATTTACTTTATGATGGTCGGCCCAACTATGGCAGCCAAGGTTGGACCGACCTTGGCTGCCAAGGTCGTACCGACCATTGTCCCCCATGGTCGGCCCAACTATGGCAGCCAAGGTTGGCCCAACTATGGCTGCCAAGGTTGTGCCAACCATTTTCCCCTTAGTCGGCCCAACTGTGGCTGCCATAGTTGGACCGACTATGGGGAAGAATGGTCGGCCCAACTATGGCAGCCACAGTTGGGCCAACCATGGCTGCCAAGGTTGTGCCGACCATTACCCCCATGGTCGGCCCAACTATGGCAGCCATGGTTGGCCCAACTGTGGCTGCCATAGTTGGACCGACCATTACCCCCCCTGGTCGGCCCAACTATGGCAGCCAAGGTTGGCCCAACTATGGCTGCCAAGGTTGTGCCGACCATATTCCCCCATAGTCGGCCCAACTATGGCTGCAATGGTCGGCCCAACTGTGACTGCCGACGTCGGCAGCCATAGTCGGCCCAACTTTGGGTGCAAATATTTACCATGGTCGGCCCAACTCTGGCTGCCGACCGGTCGGCAGCCAGAGTTGGGCCGACCATGGGCCGACGAACCAACTCTGGCGGCCGACCGAAATTCGCACCTGGGATCGTGTTTCTTTTGAGAAAAATAATTCTGTAATCCTTGATATACCGACCATCGATATACTCGGCTGCCAGTCATGCTGACTACATTCCCCGTAGTCGGCCCAACTGCGGTTTTCAAAGTCATGCCGACCATTCTCCCCCTAGTCGGCCCAACTGTGGCTGCCATAGTTTGGCCGACTATGGGGAAGAATGGTCGGCCCAACTATGGCAGCCAAGGTTGGACCGACCTTGGCTGCCAAGGTCGTACCGACCATTGTCCCCCATGGTCGGCCCAACTATGGCAGCCAAGGTTGGCCCAACTATGGCTGCCAAGGTTGTGCCAACCATTTTCCCCTTAGTCGGCCCAACTGTGGCTGCCAAGGTTGTGCCGACCATTACCCCCATGGTCGGCCCAACTATGGCAGCCATGGTTGGCCCAACTGTGGCTGCCATAGTTGGACCGACCATTACCCCCCCTGGTCGGCCCAACTATGGCAGCCAAGGTTGGCCCAACTATGGCTGCCAAGGTTGTGCCGACCATAATCCCCCATAGTCGGCCCAACTATGGCTGCAATGGTCGGCCCAACTGTGACTGCCGACGTCGGCAGCCATAGTCGGCCCAACTTTGGGTGCAAATATTTACCATGGTCGGCCCAACTCTGGCTGCCGACCGGTCGGCAGCCAGAGTTGGGCCGACCATGGGCCGACGAACCAACTCTGGCGGCCGACCGAAATTCGCACCTGGGTACACTTGTGCCTCTTTTGCATTCGTTGGAGAAATTTTAATTCATAAATTATTTGAATCTCTAGGTCAAATTTCGTTTATGTATATTGGAAGTATTAATTAGCTCCCTACTTAATTTATTTTAAATAAGTTACCAGTTTTTTTTTAATTTGGAAAATTATGTAATGGTCACCATTATTCCCTCTTAATACTGTAAATTCCCTTCAATATTTTTTCACAATGTAATAAATGATTATTTTCAAATTTAATCCTGAATTAATTTTTTAAATTCACGCCTCTCCGTTTATTTTTGTAGAGCTAGACGAGTTAATTTTGATTTTTAATTTTATCGTTTAAATTTTTTTAATTGATCCAAGCAAAATATCTGGCGCCCTTCAGGTAAATTTTCTAAAATATTTTGATTTTTCTGAGTTTTTTATTGTAATGAGAATTCTAACTTTGGCTTAAATTTTTTAAATATTTTTTTTGTATTTTCTCTATTTATTTAAAATGTCGTGTTTAATTAATATTTCGTTTGATGATAATCAATAATTTTCTATACAAATTATTTCAAATTTTTTCTAACGAATAAAAAAATCATTTGCGAGACAAAATTATTTTTTTTAAGTTAATATTATAGAAGTTGGTCAAAATCAACCAAAACGAATACTTTCTCATTTATGATGAGAATGTAAAAACAAATTTTCAAAAATGTTAAAAAAAAAAAAATTTGAGTTGATTTTTATTATTTTATGTTATTTAGATGTTATTCTAATAAGTATCTAAGTCAGAAAAAAATATATTTGATTTGTATTTTTTAATATTTTCTTCTATTTGCCATTGCTTCATTCACTATAAATTCAATTTTTTGTATTTTTTGATGTTAAAAAATTCGTAACTTTTTTATTGTAGCCTCTATTGAAAAGTGTTAAAGAAAAAAATGTGTCTTTTTAGGAGTATTTTTAGGGAAAAATAGTAGAAAATTTAAAAAAAGAAAAATTGAAAAATTTGAATTTTTTCAAAATTCAAAATTTGAAAAACTTTTTTGTTTTAATTTCTATCGAAAAGTGTTGAAGGAAAAAAATGTTTATTTTTGGTAGTATTTTTATGGAAAATTAAGAAAAAAATTTTTTTTTTAAATTTGAGAAAAATTGAATTTTTTGAAAATTCAAAATTTGAATAATTTTTGAATTTTTGGGCGGATAAGTCTGTCCGACGAACTCAGGCTTCATTTTTACATGTTGAAAGAGTATACCAAATTTCAAAGCGATTCGTTAAGATTTGTTCAAGTTATCGTGGGGACAAAAAAGTGTCTACAGACAGACGACAGACGACAGACAGACGGACAGGTTTTCAAAACCTATTTTTTTGGCATCAGGAGGTCTCAAAACGTGGAGATTTACATGAATTAGAAGTTGGTCAAAATCAACCAAAACGAATACTTTCTCATTTATGATGAGAATGTAAAAAAAATAGAAAATGGCAAACTCAATATGGCTACCCAATATGACGGAAAAATTTGAAATTGATATGCTTCGTTCAAAATTCGGTGCTAGTGAATTTGTGGGGTCGGTAAATCAAAATTTGAGGATCGATTTAACAAATTCAAAATTTGGATTCATAGACACCAAAAATCTCCGTGTACCGAATTTAAAATTAATCGAATAAATGTTAAATTATTCCGTTATGATGGGCCAGCCATTTTGGATTTTTTAAATCTAACCTCAAATTCGAATTCAGGGACCTCGAAAACAACAGTGTACTCATTGATACTTTAATAGAAAAAGATTTACTATTTTCTTTAATTGTGTACAAATACGTCTAAAATAACAAAAACGAAACGTCTTTTTATTGGGATATATATGAGCCATGGACTGTCAAGGGGTAAGATAAAAAAAAAGTCTAAAAATAAAAGAAGTTCACTTAATTCAAAAGTTAGCAATCGAAAACTTACTATATTCTAGTAAAAACAGTGCAACATGAACTAATCAAAAATATTTTGAAAATAATTGCACTTTTTGGAAATGGATAGCAATGGTTGACTTATAAAAAAAACCAAACAAAAAATTCGGTATTTTATGAGTAAGTTACTTTAATTTCTGTTAATTTAAGGTGGTTTAAAGAGAAATAATACATAGTCGCACATACTTTTTCAAAATAAAGTAATTTTGCCCTGCATTTTACCCATTTTTCATCCGTTTTTGTTTGTCATTTTTTAAGAAAAATGAGTAACTTTCTTGTTTTCACTCGAATCAAAAAATGCTAACTGAAAAAAGTGTTTCATTTGACTCACATTTTTCAAAAAAAAATTAAAAAAAATTTTTTTTTTGAAAAATGAAAATTTTTGAAAATTAAAAATTATAAAAAAATGAGTAACTTTCTTGTTTTCACTCTAATCAAAAAATGATAAAGGAAAAAAGTGTTTCATTTTACTCATGTTTTTCAAAAAAAAATTGAAAAAAAATTTTTTTTTTGAAAAATGAAAATTTTTGAAAATTAAAAATTATAAAAAAATGAGTAACTTTCTTGTTTTCACTCCAATCAAAAAATGATAAAGGAATAAAGTGTTTCATTTTACTCATATTTTAAAAAAAAAATTGAAAAAAATTTTTTTTTGAAAAATAAAAATTTTTGAAAATTAAAAATTATAAAAAAATGAGTAACTTTCTTGTTTTCACTCCAATCAAAAAATGATAAAGGAAAAAAGTGTTTCATTTGACTCACATTTTTCAAAAACAAATTGAAAAAAAATTTTTTTTTGAAAAATGAAAATTTTTGAAAATTAAAAATTTCAATAATTTTGTTGTATTTTGACGAAATTGTCTGCCCAACGAACTCAGGCGAGATTTTGGTGAACTTAAAGTGCAAAACAAATTTGAGGTCGATTAATTAAAATTTACTCAAGTTATCGTCGAGACAACTTTTTTGTCTACAGACATACATACATACATACAAACATTTGTTTAAAACCTATTTTTTTGGCATCAGGATGTCTTGAAACGTGGAGATTCACAAGAATTAGATATTGGTCAAAATCGGGCAAATGTAATACTTTCTCATTATGATGAGAATGTTAAAAAAATTAAATTTGAAGTAATATAAAATATTTCAATTATACATATATAATAACGACTTATAACTAAATTTAACAAAAACATGTTTAATTAATGGTCAGCACCAATACGTTGATTAATGGTATCTATGTGACACGCACACTGTGTCTATTATTATAAAAACAAGAAATTTTACTAAAATCTAATTACCAAATTCCGAGTAAAACTTGGTATTTGTAGAAAATAATTCCTGAAGATTCTTTGCGATATTAACCATTCTTTTTTCCGTTGGACTTCCACCATCCTCTATTTTCATAATCAGCACTTCCACACCTTCAATTGTGTCAATATATACATTATCCTCCAAAATAAATTCAGACCTCGATGTCATGACATAAAATGGATGAGTTTCGTCGGAAATGACACTAGTAACGTCAGCAAGACCAGCCGCATTTTTCAATCTAATATCCATTATTAATGGCATTTGATTTGAAGTACGCGTCATCTTCAGACAATTATCTAATTCCATTTCACGATCTGGATATAACATAATATTCTCTTCAAATGTAATAAATTTTTTCTTCCCGAGTGATAAAAGGTACGAAGCATAATCTTCGCTTATAATTTCAGCACGATGAAACATTAAGTCTACTCTGTCTGTGTCACTTTGTCTAAGCGCTAGTCGATTAATTGCAGCATCCATTCGTCTTTGTCCATCAATATTTAATAAACTCTTTCTCTTCGTATAGGAATATAAAATATAATAATCCTCAAATCGAAGATGCTGTCTAATATCTTTAATCTTATTATATTTAGAAAAAGCTGTACTTATATCTTGAGAATAGGTTAAACCATATATCTCCTGAATTCTTCTTTCTGCATGACTTTCTGCAAAAATATTATCTAAATGACTTTTAAGTAACAAGTCCTGAATATACGGATGAAAAGCTATTTTCCAATCCTCATAATAATGCGTAAATTTACCACTTAATATTTCATTGGCAAATTCATTATAACTTGGAACATTTAAACTTGGTTTTATGCTTAAAATATACTCTTCGAGTTTTCTTTTTGCTGATTTCAAGGAAGTCAGCGGACGACTGTTGGATAAGATGCTGGCGTGATTTTCAATGTCACTCACTCTTGGTAATTTTAAATTTTTTTCCATCTGCAACAATTCTTTTAAATCATTCTCTAAAAATTGAAACCAGTGACTTAATGACATTTTTTTTTGCTCTAATTGGATATTCAAAATCTTGTTACTTTCAATAAAAGAACTATCCTTTACTGTAAATACTACGTCGCCAAATGTTATGTAGTCACTTACAAAGTCTTCATGAATATGAGTTAAGTCTACAATTCCATATGGAGAATTAATTGTTAAGCTGTATTGTACTTGTATTTCTGAATCTTTTAATTGTAATAGTGGCATTGATTTTTTATATGTCAAAATAGTAATGTCATTAAAGAAAAAATCTTTTGTTTTCAAATTAATTAATAAATCAACATTTTCTACTCCATCCATTATTTGAGTGTGATACAGTTTACGTGGAATTCTTAACGGATATCCATGATTCAATTGAAGATGAGCTAGAGAATTTAACGCATGACGGAAATTATATATTTCATTTTCTTTTGTCATCATAAATTTTAAACCATTGTTTCTCCATAATTTTAATAAATTTACATATTCTTTGTACTTTGCGACTTTCAACACAGCTTTGTAGTACTTTGGATTATTTTTAAAACGTTTTATTGATGTCCCGGAGGTAAACACCAATGTTTGCATTTTTTCCCGTTGTAAAGTGTTCTCTAAACCTTCGGATACTGTATTTACTTTTTCTTTGCTTAAATTTGGATTTTGCTGTACATTTTGTCTTGACGTTCCGGGGATATTATCCAATAAATCTTGTGTTTCATGTTGATGTGATGCAATATTTTCTTTAATTTCTGACATTGTATCTAATTTTCTTTTATTTGGATTTAGATTTTGATTTTCTTTCAATCCTTCTAGTATTTGTTTTACATATTGTGAAGAATGATCGTAACCCTCTGGTATTATTTCGACTTTTTCAATATTTACTTTTGGTTTAATTTGTAAAGTTTGTCTCGACGTTCCGGGGATATTATCCAAAAATTCTTGCAATCTTTGCATTTGTACTGTTGAGAATTCGAAACTATTTGATATATCGCCTTCTTTAAGCATTGAAGTAATATAATCTACTTCTTCCAGCACATTGGTTGTTACCGAAAGTGGATGAGGGTGGAGATTAGGAAGTTGTGGAGAATTATTTTCCAATGTACTGAGTTGTTGATTTAAATTTACAGGCGCGTTTTCGTTCTTTGAATGAACATTATTACTTATTTTTTCTAGCGCATTAGATGTTTCCGGAAGTGGATGAGGTACTTTTATTAACACTAATTTTCCGTTGTATTCCTTCGAAGGTTTTATTTTCCATTCTATTGTATTATGATAGACATGATAATCACGAGTTATTTTCATTTCTGGTCCATTAGCCACCATATCCGCTACCATAAATTTAACTCGAAGAAGCAGATCATTTTTATCCATTTTTAAGTTGGGTCCAATTATATCACCAGTTTCTGGAACAAATTGTTTGTAAAATATTTCACCTGGTGATTTTACTGGAACAACTGGAAGCTTATATGAAGCTCCTTGCACGGTTCTTAATTCGGCAATCGTGTCAATTGATCTTATGCACTCAGGTCCAAATAAATGTGAACCACCAGGATAATGGTATCTAACAATGTCATAATTATTTTTCTTCAATAAAACCTTTGGTACTAATCCCCTTATATCAGTTAACAGATGCATATTTCGTTGCATGTTCATTAATAAGGTTTTTAGTGATAATATAAAATTTTTAGCTTGTGATATAGTTTTAAAAATTAATTCAAAATTTTTAACCAGTTTTCCTAACATTTTAAAACTAAAGCGGCCCATTGAGTAAAGTAATTCAAATCCAGGATCTAGTGTTCGAAGCGAGGCTATTGTTAAAGCTTTAGAGAATTCTTTAGTTAAAATTTGTTTTGCGATTGTAATAACAGAATCTTTTGTAATTGCCTTTAACGCTGCAGTTAATGACATTTTGGTCACAATTCCGGCTGTCTTTGCAACAGCGTTTGCAATATAAATATTCTTAACAATTGAACCTCCGACACTGTTGACTATCTTAAATGAAGTTGATGCAAATAAACCTATAATTGGCATAAAACTTAAAATATCCAGGCTACAACTTAACGTGGCTCCACTTATGTCACCTGCTATTGAACTTTCAATACAATTGTATAATGGGATAAAAATTTTCACGATATTGGAAATTTTTTCATCAAGAGTTTCCTCATAATATTCTTCTGTCATGTTTGTTATAAACAGCTTTGTCTTCATATTGGCAATTCTTTCAACAAAAAATTTATAATTTTCATTTTTATATTTATACGTTGACTGTTCAAGTAAATTCTCTTTAACTGATGTGACCAGTTTTAAATATTTAGGATTAGTAATAGCGCTAAGAAATTCTTTTTCATTTCCATTTCTTGTAATTAATGTCAATTCATCTTTCACTTGTCTAATAGCGTAGTATTCTTTTTTTTTGTTTTTAATTATTGCAAATATTACATGTATGTCTTCGTTTATTTTTAGGTCGATATTACAATCATCGTAACATTTCATGGGAAATATTAGTTTTGCAGAATTTACTGTAACATTTGGATTCATTTTTTCTAATAAACCACCGTCGATTAAGACATTCGAAATTGAATTTCTTATTATTTCTTTGTACAGTTTTTCTATTTTTGGAAATTGCTTAAAAAATACATTATTTAAATCTGGAAAATGACTTGTTTTGCAATCTCGCTGGAGTACAGATTTTAGTGTCCAAAGGTACAGGGTTTTATACAAGTACACAAGTGTTTCTATATAGACACCATGGACAGAAGGAAAACAATAAAGAAGAAGTATTTCTCGGGCAATCATCGTCCGAGTTTTGGTATTATTGATTTGCCTTTCCAGTTTGTAAGGCAAACTATTCTCAATTTCTTTACTTACAATTTCATTCATTTTGATATCAATTTCGGTAAATAAAATTTTATAAGCTTGTCTCCAAAATTCATCATTTAAATTAATTTTATTTATTCCTTTGCCTTTAGAGGCATAAAAAAATAAAGCTGCAGTTGAGTAATACTGTAATACAATTTTATAGGTTTCATTATCGATATGCTGCAAATCAAGTTCTCGCGAGATTAAAATATATTCCGAGAACGAAAGATTTGGTTCATCCAATGACGTGGACCTGAGGATATTTAAACCTACCATTGAATACATGTATTTAACGTCCATTATGCTCATGTCTTCTTCGGGTTGGGGAAAAATTGACCAAATGTATTCGTCGAAAATTTTTTTAATTGTCAATTGAGGTAGTGTTGATGTGTAATTTTTTTGCGAACAGTATTCCCAATTGAAGTGATGTTGCAAGAGATGATTATACACGGTTTTCTTAAAAATTGAGTAATTTAAATTATCTGAATTCTGAATCATTTCAGCCAAATACAAATTAATGTTGCTATAGTTGGGAAATAGTACCCCATTAATGAAGTACTTAAAGGTTTCATTTACATATTTCTTGTCAAGTTTTTCACCTTTTTCACCACCATAGAGATCAGTTCCTTTTAGTATTGTACTTAAAAGGAAATGTTTCGAGCGGGTTTCATTCTTCGCAATCGTTAGATACTCAATTAAAGTGTTGACAACAATGTCAGGTTGACTTTGCTGCTCAAATGTTATAAAATTTGTATTGTGAAAAAAAGTACCAAGAAGAGTAATGTAGTGACAAACGGAGAGAAATTGAAAGTTCGGTGACTGCTCAACAATGATTGATGTGTTGTTCATTGTGTTGATCCTGAAACAAATTAACGTGTTAGGTTTAATAATTATTTTGTATTATCAGAAATTTAATTTAAAATGATTTTTTCTAATTCTAATATATATATATGTTTATTATTATGGATGTTGATGAATTATGTTTAAGTGTTAAAGTCAGTGACATATGTATAAAAAAGTTTTTTTTAATACACTAACCAATATTTGACACTACTATTATATTTGGTCTACTCTTTAAAACTAATAAAATTTAAGTTCTGGGAAATGAGCCTTATATATTTAATATCCACAAGGTTATTCAAATAATGTAGATAAAGAATACTGCGTGTTACACGTGAAACACCTGTTAGTCTATCTTTATTGAAAGATTTTTTGTGCAATTCAATGAGAAAACTGGATCTATACGGTAACTGGTTAATACCGTTTATGAAATTTTCACATTGACTAGAGAAAAATTAACCTGGTTAATAAAATTAATTAACCAAGAATTTTACTTTTGAGATTAATCCTGGTATTAATTTGGATTATAAAATAAATATCAGTGCAGTTGTGGTTAAGTATTTAAAATTATATTAATAATATTAAATCATTAATTATATTACTATTTTGCATAAAAGAAATATGACGGATGATTTTCAAAACTTAAGAAATAATAATTAATTGAAATATAAATAAAAAATTGTACTTAACTAAATGAATTAAAATTACAATCAATATCAACTTATTAATTAATTTATTATTATTTATAACAATAATTTTTTTTTAAAAAACTTTTATTGATGCGTAAAGTTATTTTTCGTTAGAGTATTGTATACATATTCTAATTCTTTTGCTATTAAAAAATAATAATTTAACTAGAAATTATAGTTTTTAAATTTAAATTTTTTTGCTTTTTAAATTTTATAAATTATCTCAATTTAATATTAAAGGAATTCAAAAGACTGGTTTCAAAAACTTTCATTTATGAACTGTCACTGAATGTCTTGAAAGAATAAACAAATAGAACCGTTACTATGTTAATAATCGCGAATAATAAATTTAATTGATTTTGAAATTTAAAATCTACAATCTATTATCCATAACTGGTATTATTTTTGAATAATAAAAGCTGGTTAATATTAACTGTTTTTTATTATCCTAATTGTATTATCCAGTTTTCTCAGTGTCGTGTAGAAAAAATACAAACTTATGTATTTTTTCTATAGAAAATACACTCCGCCTCTGTTATCTAAAACTTGTCAAGGTTATTAAACAATAATTTTTTTACATCAATAATTTTGAACATTTCCCTAGAAAAAAAATTACCAAGAATTGGTTTTTCGTTTTCTTTTTGTTATGTTCGATAACTAACTGATAATTTTCTATAAGAATTTTAATTACTTTTCATTATTATTTCTATTTGTTGAATACAGAATAAGAATAGTTAACAATACAATATAGTATAGTACATTACTCCATTTAATTTGTTTGTTTTTTTCTTCCCGTAAAAGTAATTTGACACATATATATTTATTATGAAAATTCAGAAATTTTTAATTTATTTATCATCCTTACTTATTTACTTTAAGAATTGTTCTAAAAATTAAAATTTGTTTTATAGTTAAGAGATTAATAAAACATTCTTTTTCATTTGATTATGTTAATTACGTTTACATTATTATTATTATTGAACCATACATTAAAGATAGACTGTTTAAATCTAGATCTTTTAAAAAATAAATTGAACTAAATTTTTAACAAAATTCTTTAGAATTCCCAATGTTATTTATAGTTAAAGCCATTGCAATAAAATATAATACCTTAAATTTATTTAATTTTTATACTTCAAAAGTAAAACATCAATTTTTTTCATTTTCTATTTTTGTTATTATTTTCGAAAATTTTCCTCTTACGAAGAAATTTTTCTTAAAGTTGGAACAATAAGTTATTTTTGAGAGGACAAAGCTTTACGATTTAATCTTGGTTAAAATCTAGGTTAAAACATAAGTTGTTATCAAGTTTATTTTAGGTTTTTACTGTAATTGTCGAGGTTAATGTTACGTGGATTTGCTAATTTAAATTGTTTGTAAAATGTACACTTTTATCCATGTAATTTTTTTCGTTTAGAAACTTCAGTGCTTTAAACTAGTTTTTACTATTTTACATTTGCTTAATAGCAAACAGAACACATTTTGATCAAAATTGTTACTTTACATTAAAAAAGTAACTATAAACAAATAAGAATGTAATAATATAAATTTATAATTAAAGTTTTTTTATATCTGATTTATGGTTAGACATAAAATTAAATGCAATTTAATAAATTAATACTATACCCCAATTTAACTAGGGTCAGTTGGGGTAAATGGGGAACTTGAATTTTTGGTTTTTGTCAATTTGGTTAATAATAACAAGCTGTCCCCATTTACCCCAAAAATTTGAAAACTCAGGGTAAATAGGGACAGCTTGTCATTATTAACCAAATGACAAAAATAAAAAATTCAAGTGAATTTCGGTTATAGGAGACATCAGGAATAAGAACAAAATTTGGTATGATTTTTAAGTCTGTTTTCTTTGAAATGCGAGACAAAATACTAAAACTGTTTGATTTTGATTTTCAAGTATTTATGCATTGAGCAATAACTTGAATTATCTTGCTGTCAATCGTCAAGATGAAAGCTTGCCAATACTCAAAACCTATTTCAGGGGATCTAAGGTTAAAATATTGACGTTGAACTTCATTTTAAAACTGTAAATTAAGCTCCAAAACCTCTTGTCCCCATTTACCCCAACTGACCCTATAACAATTTTTATAATCCTAAAAAACTAACATTTAAAAAAAAATTTAATAAATGTTAAAATTTTTAAAGCAATAAAGAAACACGTGTAAAAAATTTAATCCTTGAAAAAATCGGTTTGTCCAACAATAATAAAAAATTATCATTTTACAACTCTGAATATAAAAAATTAATAAAATTTAGTTTAAGTAACGGGCACCATGAAAAAGTTCTAAAACAAATTTTTTAGAATTATCATTTGATAGATTCTCATTCTGTAAAATATTAATTTTGCAGAACATTAAATTGTTTAAATATTAATTTTGTAGCATTTTTATTAAACCGATTATCAATCTTGCAGAAATTATATTTAGACGAAAATTAATTTGACAGAAATTAAATTTGATCAAATCTTAATTTGTGGGAAACACTGTATTGTAGAATATTAATTTTGAAGAATAGTAGGTAATTTAAAAGAATTTTAATTTCCAAGAAAGAATATTAATTTAATTTTTGGCAAATTAATTTTGTTTCTATTAAAATTTCTACTTCATTGAAAATCAGTTTAATACAAATTCTACAAAATTAATATTTAAACAATTTCATATTCAACAAAACTAATATTGCATAATTTAAGATTTTATCAAATGATAAATCTAAAAAATTTGTTTTAGAACTTTTTCATGGTCCCGTTTATCAAACTAAATTTTATTAATATTTTTTTCAGAGTTCTTAAATGATAATTTTTTATTATTGTTCGCAAACTGATATTTTTTCAAGGATTCAATTTTTTACACGTGCCTTTTTATTGCTTTAAAATTTTTAACATTAAATTTTATTAAAAATATTAGCTTTTTTTGGATTAAAAAAATTTATATATAGTAATATCCATCGATTTTTTTTTGAAATTTTTTCAAAATAACTAGGGGAGACTGGGGCTGAAAGTGCCGGGGGTAAGTTGTGCCGATAGGAATATCTCAAAAACAAATTTTTTTTTGAAAAGTGGAAGAGAGAGAAGTATTGTTTTACTTATGCGCATCTTTGGCAACTGTTTTGATTTTGTTTGCTTCACGGAATAATTAGCTGTTAGTATTTTGGTGCTTTGGCGTCACTTACGTGCAAGTTTTCATGTTTACACTTTTTGGTCTATTTTTTTCATATTTAAAGATATCGATACGTATTTTTTTTAAAATGATCCAAATTTATCGACGGATCTAATAGTGTATGAAACCAAATATTTAATTTATCTAGTTCTTTAATATTTGATAAAAAGTGAGCGTCGTGAAATGGTATTTCAATAGTCAAAAATTTTATTATAAAATAATTATAAATTATTTAAAAATTAGAAATTAATAAATATTAAAAATAAAATTATACAAAGAAATGAAATTAAAACTAGATAAATTGAATTTCTGAAAATAATAGAAAGAGAGAGAAGATATCTATAGATAACACAATGAAAACATAAACAGGAAAAATAATAGAAAGAGAAGGTAGATATAAATACGAATTGAGAGAATTATTAATTGAATTTAAATTTTTTTTTATAAATAAGAATTTTTATAGATTATTATTTAAAAAATAAATTTATTTTATATTTTTTTCTTTAAATTATTTAGAAAGTGAAATAATAAAAATTATTTAAAAAAATTGCTGAAATTAATAATAATTAAATAAAATTATATGTTATATTAAAGTAAAAATTATTTAAAAATTAATAGTAAAAGTTAAATAATTTTAAAATTATTATTTTTTGAGAAATTAAAGATTTTAGAAAATGAAAATCAGTTAGAGAAGAATGATTAACAGGTAGACAATGGCATTGTACTTGGCGAACGATAGAAACGGAATTAGAGAGAGAAAAATATCTCTGTCCTTAGAAAATAATTTAAATGTAATTGTCTATCTGAAAATAGACGCCGCGAAAAATCCAAATAGAAGGAGAAATTGGCGGTAAGAAATACATGGGAGAAGCGCCCTGCGTAAAGTGGTGAGGGAAACTCGCGGATTTTCGCTCAATCAATTAAAAATTCCTTACTCACACACTCGCACATTTTGAATTTTACTTACCCCAGAAAATTAAGGGTAGGGACGCAACTATATAAGCCAACTAAATACGTGTTTCTGTCTCTTTTATCTGAACAGTTTTTAACTAGTAAGAGCTTTCTTTTATATTTTAATATAAGGAAATTTCAGAACAATAAAATCTACAAAGTCAAGTCTTTCAAACTTGAGAAGTGCAGATTGTTGTAGGCTTTCTAAC